TTCATTTGATGCATCAATTGCATACTACATGTTACCATCTAATACAATACCAGTTCTTGATACTAGTGATACTATTGAAAGCAGAAGTTTTTATCTGAATCACAGTAACTGTATCCTTGCCAAACTTACGCGTAACGATTCTGCTGTGTCTGTTCACATTACCAATAAAAACTTTTTTGGGACTACGCTTGGTATTATTCTAATCTCAATTGCTGTCACCACAACAGCCATGCTAGTATTGCTGACAATTACTATCTTAACATGTTGGTGTCATTTTTCACAAAAAGAAAGACTTCAGCAAAATGAGAGACTTCCTTTGCTGTCAGATGATTCTACAAGTAGTATTACCCATTATGCAACTCAAGTTAATAGGCGTAAATTACAAACCATTACTGGTAGTCAGTATCTCTCTAGAGGTATTATAAAATGTTTAATTACCTTTATGTGTATTTTTTATTAAACAGATGAAGGAATTGGTGCTATAGCAAGTTCTTCTGATAGTGATGATACTGACAGACAAGATATTGTTAATGAATTTACATACAGGAGACAACTAAATCAGGATGCTCCTTCAGACAGTGGCTATAGTTCAGGAGGTTGTAGCTCAACCAGTTCAGTAGATCATCACAGGAAATGTACAACTCCAAAAAATACAAGCACACATCAACAAACCTTATTGTGTGACGTAATACCAGGTAACTTATAGCTCATTAATGCATTATTCAATTTTTATATACTCTGTATTTAAAATGTTTCTATACAGTTGTTTGACATGCAATGCTATTATAAATGTGTTAATTTTTTATGCAGAAGAATCTAGTGTAACTGACTCAGCTTTACCTCCTGAAATAAACTCACTATCATCACAAGAAATAACAGCAAGCAGTATGTGGCTTTTTATTATTGGATTTTATTTGATATAGTAGGTACTACCCCAACAGTACAACCAGCACATCAGCTTACTGATGTTGTCATTGCTGATTTTGAAAAAGGGAAAGCAACCTATTGTCCAACTACTAAAAAATATCATTTTGAAAATGGTAAGATTATTAAGACAGCATAATTTGATAAAGAATATCTATATTTGATGTGATTAAAATCTAAACAGGAGGAACAAATATTACAGAAACTGATTCAGTTTATGAAGGACAATCAAATCCTGTGAAGAATCCACTGAATGAAGAATTTTTGAAAATAATGAAAAGTATATTTAATAGATTATATCAATTTAATTTATATTGTCAAAACCACAGGTGTTTTTGGAAAGTTAACTAAGTTACAATTACAAGCAAATGGTTTAATACATCATTGTGATCAATCTGGTGTTACCCTTATTGTTCCTGAAGGAGCAGTTGAGCAACCAGCTACTGTATGGTTTGGAGCGTGCTTATGCAGTGATAAGTTTAACTTTGGTGATTATGTACCTCTCACTCCTATTGCGTGGGTATATATTACTCAAAAGCTAAAAAAACCAGCAGAACTATATTTACCTCATTATATGGATGTTGATAAGGCAATAGGTATCAAAGCAAAATTGTTGCGATTGACAGCAACTGATGATTGTCACTTCAAGTTTCAAAGATGTGATGACAATCAATTTGATATTGAAACAAGTGTTTTCAAGCTCCTTTCTCCTCATTTTTGCTCTAATTGCATTGCTTCAACTTACGAGATTTATGAAGAAATTCCTAAAAGGTATCTGATAGGTAAATGTTTTAAGGAAACAATAGATAAAGGTTACTTTCAAGTTGAAGTTGAATACATATTCTTATATTTTCAGCAAACATGCAAAAAGGTCAGTTTTTGTGTAGAATTATTGATATCATTTCTCTTACTTTTTATTAGATGGTAGAGTCCCAGTGTGCTAAAACTGAATTTTCAGCACCTATTTTTCAGCCAGTGATCTTTGATAGCAGTTATGTTTCTCTTACATTTGAACCTGATGATGATATTGGGTGGACAAGGAATAATGGGGAATTTAGTATTCCTACTGTAAGATAATGATTATAACTTGAATTAAATGTTTAAAATCATTTTAGGTTTCCATTGAGCAAATTAATCATTACAAAGTCATGAATGGTGACATTAAAAATTTGAAAAATTTGGAGTTATTTGAAGAGATCTATAAATACCCTCCACGTATTAAAGTACAGTTTATTAGCATTAGCAAGATAATGCCTCCCAAAACTGTGACTGTGAAATTTGATGGAGTAAAATCCTTCCCAGGATCACTTCCTGTTACGAATGCTATTATTTTAAAGTTAGGTTAGTTATATTGTAATAGCAATTGCTTTATCAAT